CTTTTGATACATGATGTGTTTTCTTGGATAATAACTACATTTCCTAGTAATTTGATCTCTTTAACTTACTTAATTTTCTAAGAAGTTTAGTAGATAATCAGTAGCACTGGATCATAAATGAGAAGATGAATCATGCAAGAGACTACTTGGGTGGTACAGAATTCATGAGTGGCCTATTATATCCAGAAACTTGATAAAAACTGGCCTATATGCCCTTCAAAATCATTGACACATAAAGAAAACTCTGATATTATAACAAGACACTGATGACTAATGTTGATAAGTATAAGGACTTTAGTTTTAATTCTTTATTTTACAAAATGTTGGAAGAACAACTTCATAAATTTCTTTTAAAATTAAAACTAACTTTAAAACAGGACATTTTTTTTTCTATAGAAAAAGGCAGTGTTTACCTTTTATGCTAATTTGCATCTTGTGCTGAAAAATATGAGTCTCATGTATTTTAGCTTTGGAGGAAATGATATGCTACCTGGATAGAGACATGCTAACTTCAAATTGTGCATTTAGAGTCAGTGCAGAGTCTCCTTCATTTATTACTTTGCTTGTTTTTAATTTAAATGATTGATTGATTGATTGAGACAGAGTTTTGTTGTGCAATCCAGCCTGGCCTTGAACTTACTTTGTAGCTCACACTGGCCACAAACTTGCAGTGATCCTCCTGCCTCACCCTCCTGAGTGCTGGATTACAGGCATGCCCTAGCATGACCAGCCTAAATATTAAACTTAAACATTAAGTCACAAGCAATAAGAATGTTATAAAGACACAGCTTTCTTTCTTTGCATTATTTAAACATTAAATGTAATATTTAAGTATTAAAATAATATTTACAGCACTTATACTTGATGTACAGCTCCTTATTTGTGCTACTATATTATGGATAAGAATATACAGAAGTGAGTTTTGACAGTCTTACAACTGGCTGAGTTGTTGCCTTGGTGAATTTAGAGTCTACAGAATAGGATATGCACTGATTATAAGTTTCACCAAAGCAAAACATTATGTTTATTAATTTGATAGTGTTATGATATACAAACCATCTATGCTCCTTAAAAATAAGCAATACATTACTCAAACTTTAAGTGATTAGATAAGGAAAGTTTTAAATAATTAAAAAGACTACCTTTTTGTTTACATGTGGGAAACCTTGACTTTGAAAAGTTCTTTCAAGAAATTAAAATGTACAAGATGGTTTTCTGATAGAGATGGATGAAGTTATGATGAAGCATGATGTATGTTAAATAAAACTTCATTCTGGAAGCATCCTCTGAATCTTTACATTTATAAACGAGAACATAGAGCAACAATATGAAATTCTCAGGAATTCATGGATCTGAATGCTACCAAATCCAGCCCATTCCTATTGTAGATGATATGCTCGATCTAAGAAAAGTGACTTTCACACAGTAAGTTGGAAACAACACTATTTTGCTCTGCAAATAAATCTTACATATTGATTATATTTCCCTTGGCAGTATTTTCCAAAGCGATTTACTCAATGATTCATTCATTCTCATCTAACAATTATGCTTTCTTATTTTGTGATTTTATTGTAAGTGACTATATCAGCTATCACAAAGAATCAAGAAAAACAAAATGTTATAAAGCAGTATATGGCTTTTTTCCTCTATGAAATTATAGATAAATGCTTTTTTTCTTCTAATCACCCAGTGTTTTAGACTAATCACTGGAAGCACCTTGACTGATTATGAAACAGTGACAGGAAATAATCTATGTAAATATCCATCTCATGCATTATATTTTATATATTTTTTGATACCGGGAATTGAACTCAGGACCTTGCGCTTGCCAGGCAGGCACTGTGCCACTGATCTATATCCCTGGCCTCCATCACATGTATTTTAAATCCTTTATGTCAAACTATTTCATTTTAAAGTCACCTTAAAAATATTTACATGTTTTGGTCAAATAATCAAACTAACTACTTGAAACCTTAGTGCATTTCCCCCAGATAAAAAGCTTTCAGAGTCTCTCTATATAAGAAATCTGTCTTAGTGCAGCTTTTATTTCCATTAACTTTTAAATTGAATTCAGAAGTCTTTTGATTGTTATATTAGTGGTTTGAAAAAAACTCCATGGTACTTATCAAACTACAGTCTGATTACAGAGTATGTGTATTGTGGCAGGTCAATTATTGTAAGTTTTTATTTGGTATGCATAAATATTATATATTTTTAATTCATAATTTACTAAAGAGAATAATTTTATGTAGATTCCCAATGCACTTTCCTGGAGTCTCCTTAGGAAGTAAGAATTTGTGTTATTATCATCATGATTATCATTATTTAAATATGAGGAAATAAATCTGTTGCCACAGACCAGCACATGGCTTCCCATAATCTGCATTCAGTCACTCTATCTGTCCTTCCTGTTCTTTCACACCAAAGCTCCAGAGGACCACAAGAACCTCCTTTTCTTGGAACATGACTCCTGTCATCCCCTCTCTTTGGCTTCAACCATCATGCCAGAAAGGTTTTCTCCTTTCACCCTGTTCATTGCAAGCTCGTACACCCAGTACTAGCTGCTCAGATTTACTTGGTGGTTAGTTCATGTCACAGACTTTATGAACAGCATTATTTAATTAATGCCTTGTAACAAACCTACTTTACAGATAAACAAACTTTGGCTAGTCACCCAGTTAGGGAGTGGCCAGGTCTGGGATTTGCAAGCAGGTAATCTGACTTCAGATTTTCCTCTGTGATACATTAACACCATGGTATATTGATATACCATGATATATTGAGATGTGACTCAATAAACTTTCAAGAACAAGAGTAAAAATAAAAAATACTTCTTTCATGGGTATTTCATTGACTTGCTCACTTTTGTTTCCTATGTTTGCCCTGTATCTCTCTGTGATCACACTCTAACTTCTTACCACTGACAAAATCAGTGATGTGCCTGTCTTGTTTTTTTTAACCATTCAGTGCCCCTTTGAGAGCAGTGTTCTGATTCATCTGCATAGCGTCTGTAACATATGGTATAATTCCTTTCATAGGCAAAACTTTCTATGAATATTGGTTATATAAATTTATCAGTGAAGGTATTAAAAGATAGTTTAGATTGAATCATAAATGACTTATAAAAGAAGTGCAAGAATCCAGATAGCCAGCCTGTAACTTGATAAACACAATGTTATCAAATGAGTGTTTGTTTCTTCTCAAATCTGATCTTTTGTGTTGATCCTATAAAAGTGTTCAAGCTCATTCATTCATGTAAATGCATTGTTTGGTTCCAATGAATCCAGACAATAGAATTCAATGTAGGAACCCAGGTGAATTTCATGTACTCTAAACAAACAGTTAAAAATAGAAATAATTCTTTATAACGGTGACTGTATAAACAAATCTTGCTTATTTGCCTTCCCCCTAGCTGATTCAAATTTTTCAGTTTTGTATGTATGCATATATTGACTCATCTAGATAATATTCACTAGTCTGTGAAGAGAGAAAACTCATTTAATTTTTATTTTACATGATACTATGATAATGTAGTCATCTTTTAAAATTTTTGAATTTGAACTGGATAGTTTGATATTACTTAGAGGCAATTTATGTTTATTCACACTATGTTTTGCATGTTGGGGTGGAGAGTGACTTGAAGAGTCAGGCTCAGAAGTCTCAAAATAGCCACAAGTAAGATGTAGAATTATTAGATATAAGAAGTGCCTTTTATCCTTTCAAACTGAAATTTAATATATATGGTGGCAAAACTTACATAATTAAGAAAAGGTAGTTATTTGGAGGTCGACAGTAACTTGCTGAATTAGAACAAGGATTCTTGGAGGAACTCAGTCTTAGAATTAAACATTAGTTTTTTAAGTTTTAAGGTCTGCAATTTAGTAGAAGTTTTATCTAGCCTGAAAAAATCAAAACATACAAACTAATCATACAAAGAGTAATCTTATGGCTGAAAGCATGTCAGAGAACTTCTCACACATGAATTACTTTGGAATAGTTTTTCACATACTCCTGAATGGTCATTTTTGCTGAATGAATTAAGCCCAGGGGATGAAGCCATGACTGATAAAAAACCACTATGGATTATCAATAATAAATGTCCTGATAAATTATCTCAGTAGAATCAAATTAAAAACCCATGACAGCTATGCAATTCGAAGAAGAGTACAAAGCTGTTTTTCACAATTAGTTTCACCCTAAGAATGGTACTCAGTTTTTTCATTTATCTTTGGGGGAAGGAATGCCTTTTCAAGGCTTTCCTTGAGATTCACCTTAAGTAACTACACAAGAAGCTTGTTGAGTCAGCTACTTGATTTAGAGAAAATTATGACATTTTTTTCCCGAGCAGCTAAGTGCTCTTTAAGGAGACTTATTCACCAGTTAGAATGTTGCGCTTCTTAACATTGCTGCTTGCTTAACTTATGGCCTAGAACTTACTGAAGAGTTTCCGGAAGTATAGTACCAGAAAGCCTGCAAGGAAGAATTATCAACAGTGTTTGCTGGGATAATATGCACCTCCAGTCTCCTTTCACAGACCACATTTTTCTTTTTGTCATACCTGTGTTGCCTTTGGGGTACCTTGGGCACTGCTGCCCAGAGATAAAGGCATAACTAACAGCCCCTGCTTGTCCCTCATACATGAAAAGGATGTAACACACTCATTTTGATTTTCTTCCTAAAAGGAACAAAAGACTGAGTGAATCTGCCACGGGCAGGTGCAACCTCAAATCATGAACACTGGCCAGCCCTTTACAAAATCAGCCAGTGGAAATTGAACCCCCTCACCACAAGTTTAAACAAAGCCATCTAATTTGGTTTTAACCCCCAGTAAGGGGGGAATAACCAATAAAAATGACAACCTAAAGAAGCAGAGCTTGCCAATGCGAACCTACATGCAAGCCAGAGATTTATGATTTTGTTTCCCGGGAGGGAGCGACTAACGCACGCACACTGACCATCACTATAAAGAGGTAAAGAGAGAGTGAAAGGGCTCAACGTACACACACCCCGCTCCATACCGGGGACGAGTCTCCGAGCTGAGGCTTGTGCTGTCGGAGGGCCAGGCTGAAGCTGACCGCCCCCACGGCCACGCTGGACACCCCCAGCCCTATCTCCAGCACAGAGAGCACCAAGAGGCTCCCAATAATCTGGCCGCTGGTGCACATGCTTCCTGGGTCATCATTCCTTCCAGATCAGAGAGGGAAACCAACCATCCACCTTCTTTCTTCCACAATCCTCCTTATCTCTTACACCCCCTACCAGATCCCAAAACTTTTCTTTCTTCACCAGCAAAACATATATCCACAAGGACTGGATTTTCAGAACCAGATATCCTCTTCCCCGGCCCCGACCAGAGGCGAAAGAGCTGCTCCACCCCCTGGCACGTTCAGACAAGGACTGGAGAGGAGTCTTGCTGGGCTCGGTGGGGGGAGTCCAGAACAGAGCAAGTCGGGAGCTGGGCGTTCGGGAGCCCGACCTGGGAGCCCCGGGGGCTGGAGCTGCGCTCGCAAGGCGCTGTCCAGAGTTCTGCCGCGTCCCCGGTCTCCGCAGGGAAACCAGCTCCCGCCTCAGCCTCTCAGACCTGTCAGACGCCCTTCCCTTCCTCGCAGGGATGAGCTTTGCTTCCCGGAGGAGGTCCAAGGGCTCAGAGCTTCTCTCTGCGTCTCCCTCTCTTCTCCTCGCCTTTGTTTTCGTGGTAACGCAAAGTGCTCCTGCCAGTCTGCTGTCCCCAGGCGGAGCGGGCGGATGGTATTCAGCACCACGCTCCTCGCAGTTGCCGTGTCGCCAGAAAAAGCGACCTTGTCTGATGGCCTCTTTCGGTCTGGGTTTTTTCTCTCTCGTCGTCGTCCTCTTCCTCCCCCTCTCTTGATCTGATTTTCTCTCATTGCTATGACCTCATTGGGATTTAGAAGGTGGACAGAGGAGGGCGAAACCTGGTGTATTTGTGGGTCTAGAACCAATACTCTTGGCTGGCTCTGGACCCGTCCCTCCCGGGACCCTAACTAACCACAGGAATCTAAGCGATCCCTACCTCCGCATTTCCCCACTGGCTCCCTTCTGGGCTTCTCTCCAGCAGAGAGGGGAGGCGATGCCTACGTCAACGCGGGGATCATTCGGTGTAAAACTTTCTTCTGCATGTACACGGACGGGGTGGGGGAGAAGTGACCAAAGCAAGGCAGAGGAGGAGAGGCTGGAGAAAGCCCAGCAGCCTCATTCACGGGACAACTCAAGGTCCTCACCAAGAGACCCCTGTGTCCAGACGACATCTTAAGGAGAGCCCAAGCCACGTCACCTTCCAGGTCTGAGGGGAAGGAGACTGGCCCGGAGCCTCCACAGGGAGGGGATGTGGCGCCCTGCTCTCGGGCTCGCAGATCTCGCTCCCCCTTAGGTGCATGTGCTGTCACTTGACTGGGATGAGCAGTCAGACCCAGCCCACTTGGGACCCCGCATTCTCACTCAGTTTCGAGAGATATGTTTGTTGTATACCGTATTGGAATAGACTTTTGTTTTTAAACGTCTGGGTTTATGCACAACTCTTTTTGCTAATCTGCCGTGGTCAGAATCATTAGGGCTGGGGAAACCGTGGTTTGAGTATCTTTGCATTATCGTCTTTGAAGCTCATGGGACTCTAGATGTCTAGGAATTATTGTTTGAATCCCTTTTTCGTTTTTCTTGATTTTACGTCAAGAAATAAATCTCAAGGTATTCCACCAAGGGCATCCAGGAAGTCAGGAGGGTGAGAGGAGATTTTGAAATGTGAATCACCTTTCTCAGTAACTGGGTTCCCCAGTTAGAGATGGATGGAAGGAAAACTGGGAAAGAGGATGGTACAGGAAGGCACCTTGACCTCTAACAGATACTGCAGGGCAGGTAACCCTGTGGTGCAGTGTGGTCTTTAAAACATCCCAAATGCTAAGAACACAAAATCAGGGTGGCCTATAGCCCAAGTTCTGTAGCAAAATTACCAGCTTTGATTTTCTTAAATTTGATTCAGGGCTTGTATCACAGTTTAAATTCAACTGCACACAGCAATTTCTTTTCTTCATGATATATTTATTCTACAATTATAAATTTTAGTCCTCTTTCTTTAAAAATACAAAAAATGTAGCAATTAGCATTTATGAACCTTTAATGAATCTTCAATTACTGTAATATTTAGAGGGAAAACTTAAACCTGCATACTGAACAATAATTAGGGGATTCACTTTCAACTGAAGCATGGCTCATCCAATTTTCAGTTGTTGGAAATGCTCAAAAGCCCCTATGGCCTCAGTGATTCATAGTTTCCTTAAATATTGTAGATGTCATCTAAATGATCCAAGTTTTTATACAGAAATAATCAGTATTTTATTGCTTATCTTTTGTTTTGCATTTAGTCATTGCTTCTTCAAAATTAAGTCTCTTTATCCTCTTTTGGAAATAAATAACAAGTTGTACTAGTTAGTAAAATAAATTGATTAATGCAGTCCTGTAGGCAGGAAGATAAGTTATTGGAAGAGATCTTATTTTTTTATGGAATGTAGAGTTGATGTGACCAACATATGATTTTTAAAGAGTGAAAGAAATGAGCAAATCTTACAATTGTCTGGTTTTATTTCTGAAAAATACGATGGCTAAATGAGGTTAAATATCCCAGAGCCATGTATATATGAGCATATGCCCAAATACACGCACTGTTGATTGATACTGGGTTATTGTTTTGCAATTCAAAATTTTGAAAAATCTCCCAATGAGTCACAATAACTCAGAAAAATGTTTGGAAAAACATATAAACAATCATTATCCACAGAAGCATCACCATTCAGTGTTTGAAAACACGACTATCCTTGTCAGAATTTTCAAAAGATCATTCCATTACATTTTCTGGGACATAAAGTATCTTCTGCATGCTTTTTAAATTGATATAAAGATTCTTTCAAAGTTAGCCATGTGTATCTAAAATTTCCTCATAATCATGGAATTAAAAGACAAAAAGTGGGTTCAAACTGGCAAAAATATCGTTGTTATTATTATCATGACCCCTCAAAAATATTTACTAGAGCAATAAAAACAGGGTTAACCATATGTGAAGCACACTACTGTCCAAACTCCAAGAACATCACAGTTCAAGGATTTATTTCCTCACATTATAATACATCAGAAGTGTTACTCATAAAATCCATTGAAATATACTTTGATCTGCATCTTTAGTCAGAGCAACTGCACAAAAAATCTGCAAGCTTGCCACCTGCTGGCTTGTACATGACACAAGTGAATGTGTGCATAGTGTCAAAATAATTCTTATGAAGTCTTCAACTAATAAAAACCTTATTCATAATTGTTCACATTAAAGACCTAAGTATTACCAAGAAGGATTGAAGTGTTCTGAGGGCTTTGTGTATGTATCAACCCAAATGAGATTTACAGAACTTTTAATATGTAGAGAGAGCAATGTGCATGAATTGGTAGACTAATACTACCTGCTATGGTTTGAATGAGTGTCCCCCAAAATCCCTTGTGATAAGGGTTTGATCTCCAACCCACTGTGCTATTGGAAAATGATGTAGACTAGTGAAAACAAAGAGAGGTCACTAAGGCAAAGGGATGTATCCCTGAGGGGGATGGTGGGACCTCACCCCTTCCTCTTCCTTTCACAGTTTTTCCTAGATGCCATGAAATGAGCATCTTTCTCTACCATGTGCTGCCTGCCATGGTGTCCTTCCTCCCCATAGGGCAAAAACCAATGGAACCAACCAATCATGGACCGGGACCAAAAAAACTATAAGACAAAATAATAAAACTTTACTTTTTATTGCAATTATTTCAAGTATTTTGTTACAGTGACAGACAACTATTACATTTCCTATCTTACTGTAATGAGGCACATGACAGAATGATAATTTCAATCACTAAATTTTAAATGATTACTTTTAAACATCAAAATCATCGTGATCTCATTTATACTGTGTGATATAAACTGAAAGTTTATAGTGGTCTTAGGCACTGGACTGAATGGCCAATGTATTACAAAAAATTAAGCAAATGAAAAATTGCAAAATAATTTCAAACAATTAGCAGTTTGAAAATGCTAGAAGACTACTCACTATTTCAATACCCCTTTCCATGTGATTAGAAAAGATGGCACCTAAAGATTTGCCTTAGATTTGATGAAGTGGTTGTGCTAAAAAAAGAAAGCAATATTTTGAAGATTTTTTCTTATTTAAAAATAAACAGAAATAATAAAGCCAGAATATATTTTTTAGTTTTTCTTTGCTTTTAGCTATTATACAGCTTAGAAGTCATTATCCAAAAGTACTTTTAGTATTTGTGAATATTAATGTGGGAAAATATAGTATGTAGTACAGTAGTATAATTTTCTATATCTGAAATATCATGATTATTCTTAACCTTTGTAAATACATGTATAAGTCAATATGACATATGGATATTATAGTGATTTCTCATTTTAATTATGTGGGTATCTTCACTCTTGGCATTTTTGAAGAAAGGAGTGGACTTACTCTCCAATTGTATGTAAAATATAGAGTTTTCTGATACAATACAAAAATAGCATGACATTGTGATCTACCATAGAAGAGAAACAAGGTTTTCTGCCTCGGTTTTCTAACTATGGGCACTGAATAATTTTACAGAAGGAGAGGGCCTTAGGAAAAAAACGGTGGCCTTACAGAATTTATATAAATATCAGAGTTCTTGGAGGCTGGGTGTAAAAACTGCATATTTCTGTTCTCCCAAGATGTATACTGTACACTGAAAGCTTAAACCTCAATGGAATGTATTAGGAATTGAGATCTTTGGTGGAGGAGGGGTTGGGGTGGATGAAGAAAAGGACGGGGAGTGTGGGAGGGGTTGCTAGCTGGGTTTACATGAGGCCAAAAGGAGCACAATCTTCATGATAGAATTAGTATCCTTTTCCAGAGACAGACAGAGACTAGAGTTCATTTTCTCCGTCATGTGAGGACACAACAAGAAGTCAAGCATCTGTGAATCAAGAAAGAAAGCCCTCACAAGATGCTGAATGACTTGATCTTGATTTTCTCAGCCTCCAGATTTGTAGGAAGTAATTTTTGTTGAAATATCCAGTTTGTGGCCTGTTGTTATAGCAACCTGACATGATTAAGCTACTAAAGGGGCCAAAATTCTCAGGGCTGAGTGCTGGAGAGGAGGAAGTGTCACGGAAAA